AAGTAGTTTAGTTGTCTGAACCTAACTAAGTAGTTTAGTTGTCTGAAACTAACTAAGTAGTTTTATTGTTTGAACCGCTTCTGATTGGCTGGTTTCTATTCTTTCATGCTTGTTAACCTGTCTTCTGCGTTGTGTCCTGTGTTCTGCAGCCGGACGGCCCGTTTTGAGGAGACGGTTCTGTCGAAGCCTCGCTTCCAGCTGGACCTCTGGCTCGGCTTCACCATCCACAGCTGGACCCTGGATGTGGGCTGGCCCGTTGTCATGGTAACAGGATGACTACACTCAGTCAGACATCTTTTAAAAGAGAGAAAATGAAATCTTCTATTTTTCTATATTTTGTTTTGTTTGTGTTCAATTAAAGTTAAATTATTAATTATTAAATAAATAAACAATATATTATAATAACTATAATTTTTTATTATTATTAAAGTCTAGATTTTTCATTTTATTTCAGTGAATTATATAAAATAAAGATGTCACTTTAGTTATTTGTCCTTTTTATTAATTTAGACTCTACTTTATCCTTTTATCCAACATTAAAAAATAGTTATTTTTCAGCTGTTCCTTTATTATTTAGTTATTATTTGTATTTAATTAAAGTCCTGTCGTAGATTTTCACTGCTGTATTTTCCAGTTTGATTTGTTCATTAATATATAACATATAGAATTTGCTTTATCCTTTTCATCCCGGAAGAATACAACTTTATTTCTGAGTTAGAATATATGTGTGGTGCAGCCCTGCAGGACGCCTGATAGTAAACGTGTTCCTGAGAGAAGTGACTTCATTTAAACTGAGAGAAATGTAAATTATAAATGTTAAAACTTTGAATCTATGTTTTTTATTCGCAGCTCGTCCTCCCAACAGATGGGTTCCCTCTGAACCGTCCTGGAGCTGCAGAATATCTTCAGATAGTGTTTAACATCAGCAACACACTGCTGCTGCTCAAAGTACACACACACACACACACGCGCGCACGCGCACACGCACACGCACACGCACACACGCGTACGCGCACACACGCGCACACACACTCACACACACACACGCGCACGCGCACACGCACACACACACGCACACGCACACACGCGTACGCGCACACACGCGCACACACACTCACACACACACCCACACGCACAAGCACATGCGCACACACACGCACACACGCATACACACGCGCACGCGCGCACACGCACACACACACACACTCACACACACCCACACGCACAAGCACACGCGCACATGCACACGGACACACGCACAGACACACACTCACACACGCATATACACACGCACACGCACACACACGCACACACATACACACGCACACACGCACAGACACACACACGCACACACGCACAGACACACACACGCACACACACACATGCACACGCACACGCACACACACGCACACACATACACACACACACACAGACACACACACACTCGCATATACACACACACACGCACACGCACACGCACACACACACTTGTATAAACACCCTCCTCACAGTGAACGTGATGTTTTTTAGGTGCTTGAACGCAGCCCCAGAACGTTTCCTCGCGCCGCTGTCCACCTCGGCATCATTGCCGTCGTCATGGGAACCAGCCTCCACCTGGTGGCCGACTCCGTCACGCGGCGGCTGCTTCTGATTGGCTACCAGCTGCACCTGTCGGTCCGAGAGAATCCAGTCATGAGGAGCCTCGAGCCGTCCTCATTGGTCCGTTTATTACTAATCTTTTTCTCTTATTTGGGTTGTTTGGTGAAACCGTTTTTCTTTAACGAGGACATTTTATTTAAAAGGAGGAAAATATAAATATATTCTGTTTTGTTGTACTTCATTTAGTGATTTCCTACATTTCCCAGAATGCCTTTCGACAGCCATGTGATAACAGGTTTGATGCTGTGAAACAAGAACTCCATTCATCAAACAGTCGATCAATGACGAGACATTTTTATGTAATAAACACAAGAATTAATAAATGCAGGAATTCAGCTCGCTGACTTTGTGTTGATATTATAATAATAAGTGGATTATTATTTTACTATGTGCAGAATGTTCTTCATTCATCAAAGTCACATTTAAATCTACTCACAGGTTTGTGTTCCTTAAACGAAATTAATAAAATAAGATATCAACACAAACACGTGTTGAACTCAACACAGCAGCAAATACTGAATATGAAATATTACACTAGAAAGATAAGAGCTCTATTGAACAAACAACAAGAATAACTAATAAAACCGTAAACATCGACAGCACATTTTACATAAACTAAATAAATCAATCAAACATGTTGTGAAGGCAGAGCAGAGCGCTTATAATGTTTCTATAACTTAAATAATGAACTTAATGTGTTTCACATTAAATAATCTTCTTCATTTATGAAATAAATCAACAAGAAGAACGACGAGGCTCTTCATCATCCTGCACGTCTCAAAACATTGTTTTTATACTTTTTCTTCAGTTCATTTATACTTTGATTCATTTCTCCAATTTATATTATATATATTATTATTATTATATTTTCCTCTCTGTTTATGTTCTAATCATCTTTTTCTTGCTCTGAACGTGTTTTGTGTTCATTCTTTGTTGTTCTTCATCGTTTATCGTCCTCGCGGCTCTTTGTTATTGTTTATGTGCATGATGAGTTCATGTGTTGTAATAAAAGTCTGTAAAAGTGACGATCGTTATTCTGTTTTGCAGATCGACGTCTTTGAGCTTCTGAGTTACTATGACGACACTCTCGGTCATGTGATGCGGTGAGAAGAACTTTGTTTTTAACTTCATCCACTGAGATCACACTTTAAATATGCAAATGAGGCATTACGTAATGGTACAAATGTACGTTTCCTTTGAACTCGTCTGAAAGAAGACGAGTTCTGGAAGAGAAACGTGAATGAAGAACAACGGGCCTTAAAGGACGATGGTGATCTGGGCCGTTTGATGCTAAATGTAAATTGTAAATCTTGTTTTCAGCTTTTAAAGTTGTGGACAAACTGAAGGACACTTCAGGACATTTAAGGACCTTAATGAGGACCCTTTCTCTCCTCTCCTCAGGTGTGTCCCTCTCTTCCTCGTCCTCTTCCTCTTCTTCACGGGTTGTTTCCGTCTCAGGACTCAGGAGGACAGGATGCCGGCGGCGGCGTGGATGCTGCTCGTCCCCAGCGCTGCGTACCACTGGTCAGCCTGCTTTATGTCTACACCCATCACACAGAGGGTCGCAGGTTCGATCCCCGTAGAGCTCAGAGTGACTCAGGTTTATATTGAGTCATTCTCGGTTGTTTGTAGTCTGTTTGTGACGCTTCATAGTCATTCAGTGGCTCTTTTATGTCTTTATTGCGTCTCTTTGTGAACATGTTGTGGATTTCTTTAGCGACATTGTAAAAGTCAGACCCTCTGACCAGTCGGCTTGTTCAGTAATCCATTCATGTACAACTGTGCACAAGATGCTGATCTTTCTACTGCGTCTTATATTCCACCAAGAATGTAAAACACAATAAACATAAAGTATCAGACATCAGTGAAGTGTGCAGCACCATCACAGAGAGAAGATTACATTCTCAAGCTTATTAACTCTTCTCTCCTCCATCTCATTCAATTATTCTACTTCATTCTTATGTTGCCGCTGTGAGTCGGTCCACAAGTTCACTTTTTATATCAGTGAGCATAGACATCTCGCTGACCAATCAACACACTTTCATTATGCATACGGACTGTTTCAGTATCTTTAATTTAGTCTCTTTTCCACTTCAGCACAGACATGTTGATGCAAATTACACTTAGATCAACAGCCAGCACCTGAGACTGTGTGTGCGTGTGCGTGTGTGAGCGTGTGTGTGAGTGTGTGTGTGATGTGACGACCCTCT